CTTTCACATTGTTTTCTGGTGTTTTTAATTTCTTTCTTATCACTCTCTGGTTTTTCTCATCTTGTTTTCATTGCTCTCATGTGTTTCTCATCTCTTTCTCATTACTCTCTGGAGTTTTTCTTATCTTGTTCTCACTCCTCTCTGGTGTTTTTCATCTTTTTCTCATCATTCTCCAGTGTGTCTGGAGTTTCTTATCTCTTTCTCATTGTTATCTGGTGTTTTTCATTCCTTTCTCATGAATCTCTGGTGTTTCTCATCTATTTCTCACTCCTCTCTGGTGTTTTTCATCTTTTTCTCATCATTCTCCAGTGTTTCTCATCTCTTTCTCATCACTTTCTGGTGTTTCTTATCTTGTTCTTGACACTCTCTGGTGTTTCTCTACTTTTTCTCATTGCTCTCTGGAGTTTCTCATCTCTTTCTCATTGTTTTCTGGTGTTTTTCATTTCTTTCTGGTGTTTCTCATCTATTTCTCACTCCTCTCTGGTGTTTTTCATCTTTTTCTCATCATTCTCCAGTGTTTCTCATCTTTCTCATCACTTTCTGGTGTTTCTTATCTTGTTCTTGACACTCTCTGTTGTTTCTCATCTTTTTCTCATTGCTCTGTGGTGTTTCTCATCTCTTTCACATTGTGTTCTGGTGTTTTTCATTTCTTTCTCATGAATCTCTGGCGTTTCTCATCTTGTTCTCACCACTCCCTGGTGTTTCTCAGTGTTTCTCATCTTTTTCTCATTGCTCTCTGGAGTTTCTTATCTCTTTCTCATTGTTTTCTGGTGTTTTAATTTCTTTCTTATCACTCTCTGGTTTTTCTCATCTTGTTTTCATTGCTCTCTTGTGTTTCTCATCTCTTTCTCATCACTCTCTGGAGTTTTTCTTATCTTGTTCTCACTCCACTCTGGTGTTTTTCATCTTTTTTCTCATCATTCTCCAGTGTTTCTCATCTCTTTCTCATTGCTCTCCTGTGTTTCTCATTTCTTTCTCATCACGTTCTGGTGTTCCTTATCTTGTTCTTGACACTCTCTGGTGTTTCTCATCTCTTTCTCATCGCTCTCTGGAGTTTTTTCTTATCTTGTTCTCACTACTCTCTGGTGTTTCTCATTTTTTTTCTCATCCCTCTCCAGTTTTTCCTCATTTCTCATTGTTTTCTGGTGTTTTTCATATCTTTCTCATGAATCTCTGGTGTTTCTCATCTTATTCTCCTCACTCTCCAGTATTCTCATCTCTTTCCGGTGTTTCTTATCTTGTTCTAACCACTCTCTGGTGTTTCTCATCTTTTTATCATTGCTCTGTGGAGTTTCTCATCTCTTTCTCATCACTCGCTGCTGTTTCTCATCTTGTTATCATCGCTCTCTAAGGTTTCTAATCTAGTTCTTGTGTTGTAGGTTATAACGTTGTGGTTCGAATTCCTGCTGGTGCGACCAACATCGATATAAAGCAGGTCAGCTACTCAGGATTGCCAGAAGATGATAACTACCTCGGTGAGTTAGTACAGATAACCAGACCAGATTACCCTAGTAATACCACAGTACTCTGATACGTGTTATATATACTGAATGATTGCTGTGTTTATATGCCATGATATTTACGTGGCACTCAAATGAAGAATACCATGCTATTGCAATGGCACATGTCCAGAACAGCTGTGGTATTACAATGCTGCTTCACCGTGACTCTTCCGGGAATTCGGGGTCACAGGGAGAGCAAACGCCGGATGATTGACAGACGCCGAGGTGCTAATGAAAGTGAGTGAGCGTGTCCAGGACGTTTGTGTAGCTGTTCACACTCGAGTCAAAAGGCCAAATAAACACAAACACACACAGCTGATGAATGAGACGTGACCTAAGGTTCACTGTCCAGGTCTGGGCCTGTATTCACAAAACATTTAATCTCACCACTAAGAGTGCTCCTAAACAGCAGTAAAAGTTTTTAGCTAAGAGTTTTCTCTTAAAACCTATTCACAAAGCTGCTGAGACAAACTTG